GGCCCAGCAGAGCTGTCCAGAGGGAACAGAAAGCCTAGTGCATGGCCCAAGGGGGTTGCCCAGAGGGACTGGGAAGCCTGGATGGCCCAGCAGAGCTGTCCAGAGGGAACAGGAAGCCTAGTGCATGGCCCAAGGGGGCTGCCCAGAGGGACTGGGAAACCTGTAATGCTGCCCAGGGGAGCTGTCAGGAGGGACCAACAAGCCTGGGGGAGGGAGGTTGGCAGCAGACCAGTGGCTGGGCCAAGGTTTGGGGTGGCTGGTGGCAGAGGCGCCTGAAATGACCTCCCTGCTCTGGTAAAATCCCTCATCCGGGATCAGTCAGGTCCATCTTGACTTTTCTGCTCACATTCTTGCCACCAGTGACAGACAGGAGATGTTGGTACAGCCAGAGCTGGGAGAAGGGCTGCTGGCACGGCATGCTTGCTCCTGGGAATGGCAGCACTGCACTCCCCTCCATTGGCCACAGCAGCTCCTGGGAGCAGAGCCCTGCAGATCAGCAGATACTGAGGTGTATCTGCAAGTAGACATTTGTATCTGCACAGGGCTCTAGTGGGGGGCTGAGGCCAGGGTAGGCAGGCACCGCCCTGCCCCAGATCTGATCCCCCTCCCTCAGAGCCAGCACTCCCACTCCTTCACTTCTGCCCCAGTCCTATCCCCCATCCCAGAGACAGCACCCTCTCATGCATCCCTGTCCTCCATCCCAGAGCCAGCACCCTCAGATGCACCCTATCCCCCATCACTTAGCCCCCTTCAAGAGCCAGCACTACTAATCCTCTTTTGCACCTCAACCCCGAGTGAGAAGAAAGGTATTCTTCCACAAAACTTGCCTGTGGGGCCTTACTCAGCATGTTCAAAATTTGCCTATGGGAGTAGATACCTATAGGCAAACCCAAACAAAACAACTGGAGGTTGGAGAAAAGGAGGCTTTTCCTCGTGGTATAATAATATGTGGGACATGACCTGATTCAAGTGCATACTCTGTCAGAAAAAGTAATTGAGAGAGAGAGCAGGCAGGGCCGGACTAAGGGGTGGGCGCGCCAGGCAGCTGCCGAGGGCGCCAACCGATGAGGGGCACCTGATGGCAGCTGTAAGGGGCGCGTGCCGTTCCTTATAGCTGCCATCAGGCGCTGCGTGCCCGGCTCCGGCCAGCAGCACCCTTCTTCCCACAGTTGCAGGGCCCTGCACGGCCAGGCGCTGTGCGTCAGCAGCGGTGGCTGGGCCAGGTTGGGCAGAGCATGTGCCGTGCGCCCCAGGGGTGGATCCCAGGCTGCGCGCCAGCGGAAACTTGCCTGTGGGGCCTTACTCAGCATGTTCAAAATTTGCCTATGGGAGTAGATACCTATAGGCAAACCCAAACAAAACAACTGGAGGTTGGAGAAAACATGCACCATGTGCACCGGGGGCAGGCCCGTGCATGCACCGTGTCCCCAGGGGTGGTGCCGCACACCCAGGCCTGGGGTACCAAAATGGCTCAGGCCGGTCCTGAGAGCAAGCAAGCACAAGATTGATTTGGTAACCTAATAAGGGCATTCAAGATGGCCATGGGAGACCTAGGCTCTGGTTCTCCCTACCCCATGATTTAAATTATTTATTAACAGTGGTACAGTTTCAACAGGAGAGCCTGAGAATTTAATGTAGACCAGGGCTGCTCAACATGCAGCCTGTGGTGTGGTTTGGGTTTACCCAGGGTTCAACACATGGTCTACGGGTGGGAGCCAAAACAAAAAAGTAGTCAGTATAATGGTCTTCTATTGATATGCATTTTAGTAGTTAAATTCCTGGACTGTCATTGCTCATTAAAAGTGCTATCAGATGGGTGGAAATCAGGTAAATATTGCATTTATTAATATCAGCAGAACTGAATTAAATGGGGCTTGCGTGCTGTGTAGTCTTGCCCTAATCTTTGTATTCATGCCCATCAGTGTGAAAGTAGCTATTTGCATATATATGTGCATGTATATACAACCACCCTTAAGTTGCAGCTTTCAGCATGTACTGTGAGTATCGTTGTGGCCCCCCGGGGCTTCCAAAGTTGAGTAGCCCTGATGTAGACAATCCATCTTCTAACCATGTGGTTAGGGCCTTCTCCTAAGAGACCACAGAATCCTGTTCAAATATTTTCTCCCACCCAAGTGGAGGATGGACTTGAACAGAGGATTCCCATATCCCACAGAGAGTATCTTAATTGTGGGGCTAAAATTCATGAGGGAGGATATACTGCAAAATGGCATAGGTACCTAATAACAAGAAAGTTTGAAAGTGACGCCTATGTGCCCCCTTGCAGCTTAGATTTAAGAGCCAAACTCCCTTTGAGTGGTAGGGCTTTGGATACACCGCTTTCTTTGGCTGTGGTAGTCCGGAAGCATTTACCACGCTGACTTGCGTGGATCACATCTGAAGAGGTCTTTCTAGCCCCATTCTTTCTACAGAGTAGAAATGTAATAGTGTAGTTGATTAACCAATAAGCAAAAGCTTATAGGTTAATGTTATAGACTACATGCATTTCTCCTCCCCTCTCACCTGCCAATAAATTTTTCAGCAGGCTGGCTAGCAGCTCAGTTCTGGCTCACTCTAGGTCCGGGACCAACCCCCACTGTGGCTCTGCATTTAAAGTGTATTAGGAGCCAGGCAGGTAGGCTGCCTGGTTCAGTTCTGGCTCACATTAGGTCTGGGAGGTCAGACTCTCCCATGGATATGGGCTGCTGCCACCTTGTGCTGGCAGCCAGTCTGCAAAGGGAGCTAGTTTTTAAACTGTCTCCCTTGCAGACCAGCTTCCACCTGGCATCCCACACAGCTGCCTCTAATGCAGCAGCAAGGGGCTCCTTAGAAGTGGGGCAGGAGCGCACTGGCTTCTGGCCCCACCTCCAGAGACTATAAAATAATCGACTAACCAATAAGAATTCATGAGGTTAATTGACTAATTAACCAATATTTAACATCCCTACTACAGAGTGTGTACCCTGGGCTGTGTGAATACCAGTGATTTTAGATACACTAAGGCTACGTCTACACTGGCAGCTTCTTCTGGAAGACCTCTTTTGCAGAAGAGTTCTTGTGCAAAAACTCTTCCACAAGGGAGCGTTTACACTGGCATGTGCTTTTGCGCAAGAGCATCCATGCCAGTGTAGATGCTCTCTTCCACAAGAAAGCTCTGATGGCCATTTTAACTACAGGGGCTTCTTGCGCAAGAAATTCATGTTGCCTGTCTACACTGGCCTCTTCTGGAAGAGCTCTTGCACAAGACGGCTTATTCCTCATGGGGAGAGGAATAACTCTTCCGGAAGAAGCTCTGTTTTACAACGCTATACTGTAAATTTACTTCTGGAAGAACGCTCGTGCAGTGTAGACAGCCGGCAAGTTTTTGTGGAAGAACAGCTGTTCTTCCAGAAGAAGCTGCCAGTATAGACATAGCCTAAAAGTAAGTGGGGGGTGAATCTAACCCAAAGTGACAGGCAACACAACAAGCTAGTAGCAGAACTAGGAACAGAACCCAAGCCCCTGAGGGCCAAACTAGCACTCTTGATGGGTCACAGTGCCTCCTAACAAAGGCCTAAGCTTCTTTGGTCGTTCCGGCCAATGGTGTTTGGAACTTAGCAGCCCCTCTTCTATTCATCACTCTTCAGGATGGGTTTTATGCTTCCACTGGTAGCAGCCAGTGGGCCAGGTGAGGAGGCCCGACGCATTGGGTGAATCCCCAGCAGTTTTATAACACCGCACTCATAGTGGTCCTTCCTGTGCCATGTTGGGCAAAGGGTTTACATCTGCACAGCCCGAGCGCTCAGGTTGGGATCACGGTTCCCTACCAGCTGAGCAGGGGGTGGCTGCCCAGGCCAGATTAAAGCACTACCCCGCAGATCGGCAGCGCGCCCACAGCCAGTAGAAGAGGGATAGGAAT